AGCCCAGCCAGAGCCCTGACTTAAACCCAATTTAGCATCTCTGGAGAGACCTGAAAATGGCTGTCCACCAACGTTTACCATCCAACCTGACAGAACTGGAGAGGATCTGCAAGGAGGAATGGCAGAGGATCCCCAAATGCAGGTGTGAAATACTTGTTGCATCATTCCCAAAAAGACTCATGGCTGTATTAGCTCAAAAGGGTGCTTCTACTAAATACTGAGCAAAGGGTCTGAATACTTATGACCATGTGATATTTCAGTTTTTCTTTTTTAATAAATCAGCAAAAATGTCATTCTGTGTTTTTCTGTCAATATGGGGTGCTGTGTGTACATTAATGAGGAAAAAAATGAACTTAAATGATTTTAGCATATGGCTGCAATATAACAGTGAAAAATTTAAGGGGGTCTGAATACTTTCCGTACCCACTGTATATAATAAAACCAGTTTAGAGACATGTTTTCCTTAGTATACAGTATTTATATAGCTTTGGCATATCTGCACGTGTTACCTCTGTTTTATATTCTCTGGTAAATAGAGTTGTTTTCACAAACCTGTGTCTTTCAACAAGGCAGCTGGAAACATTGCAAGATAAAGTGGTGCCTAGGTGGGAATGCATAGTATCACAAGAATATAGAAGTGGTTGATGTTTTTTTTACCAATCAAGCAAAAATTCATATTAATAGGATTTCTTCCATCTCATCTTACCATTGTTTTCATTTTGCTCCAGTGATCTGTTTGAAAATGTGGAAACAACACTGGGTGACTCCTTGGCCAAGATGTCAAGCTGGTGAAGAAAACAGAAGACCCATGAATATTAGCTGCTGCACTGGACCTCACCTGCAAAACAAACACATTACATTTGTGTGAGACAGGGACCTAGGACTTACTGCTCTCCCCTGAAACGACTCAAGTCCCATGTTTTTTTCTTTTCTTCTCTCTGCATGTTCCTGCTATTACTGCACCTGACTCCTGTCACAAACACAAAGATGGGTTGTGTTACTTTGTCACTTAGCAACAGTACCCCACGCTATGGTAAACTGGAGCTGGTTATAATTTCTGATTTTGTCACTCGGAACAGACATCCACACAGTACGAGTCAGTTTGTGAGTTTGTACAAGTGTTAAGCATGTTGAGTTATTCAGCTTGTACAAAAATTGAAACAGTATATTACACAGTGTTTTGTGGTTTTCATCTACAATAGCAAAATTACAAATAAAATTGCTTTAAAACTGAAAAGCATGCTACTTTGTTGTACGCTAAATTTAAACACGTTGGAATCAACAGACCAATTTATCTTGTAATCAACAGTACACTGTGTATTGTCAGCACAGACACTGTTGGGTATGTATTTTCTGTATACTCAGGGTTTGGTCATTATTCTCTATTCTAACAATATCGATATGTTTCTTACAAAAGAAACATAAGTAATTGTTTCTCAATACGTAATCACTGTTTTATGCTCTAAGAAATGAGGTCACATTTTCATGACTTTTTTGTGTTGTTTTTATGTTCATTGCTTTATAGTTCACACCCAGCTGTTGCAACTAAAATAATTTAAATAATCTTCACAGTGCCTTTTAACCTGCAAGAAATATATCTAATTTATTTAGTGCACAAATAAACAATGAAAATCATAGATACAGTAACAATGTATAAATTCTAAATGTCAAAGACGAACAAAAGATGAAAGGAATTAAGAAACAAAAGCAGTCACAGTGTTTCACAGCCTGATCTTAAAGGCTGTAAAGACAAGCTTAATTATGTTGTTTTTCTTCCAAGGTTCAGAAGAGACTGTCCATGTATGGTGACAAAATGGTGAATTTTCCCAAACAGCCTAACTTGAAAAATGCACCTACATCTATGACAAAAACACTCTTCTGTCTTATGCAAATGGTCAAAAAGGCTTTCTGAGGGAGTTTGCTTGTTGCCTTTCTAATAATGTACAGTACAGTATTGCTGTCCAAAAGTGATCCATGTCCATCCAGTTTCAGGCCTCATTCCTCCTGGCCTTGGATCCTCTCCAGCAGATGCCGCTCTACTTGCTGGTTAATGCGGTGAAGGTCTTTCAGCGTGCTGGGCTGATCTTCCAGCTCCTCATGTAGACACTGTGCTATTTCCAACCTCCTGTAGTCTTTTGGTTGTACAAGACGCCGAACAACCTGAAGAGCACGATCCTTGAGGCTATAAACTGTATAAACCAGACAAATGCTAGTCAGGTACATAGAAAATGTTAGCAAAAACAATTCTCCTAATGTATTTTCTTTTACTTAAAGATTACAGCAAAAAAAAAAAAAAAAAAAGATACCAGTGTGATAATTTTCTGAGTTTGACAACTGAAAATATAGGCCTGTTATGTTGCTGAATTTACAAACACTTCTGACATAAAAAGGTTTTAAATGAATCAGAAAGAATTAATAGTGTAGTCCCTGAATTAAATTCATTCCAAATTATTTTTGTGGCATTCAAAGTGTTAGAAAATTCAAAAATCACTGGCTCTCAATGAAAACCAATCAAGATCTGTGGATTATCCTGAGCAATCAAGATCTGTGGATTATTCTGTGTAGCCACTGTCTGCTTCTATTTATTTTGTGATGTTTTGAGCACCACTAACCAAGTGGCATTCACCTCTAAATTATAACAATGTGGTAGAAGTTAAAACATTTTAAAACCTTGCCAAATAAAACCAAAACTACCTACACAACAAGATAGCACTAAGGGTAGGGAGAAAACTCCTATTTCTGTAATTTGTTTAAAACATGACAGGAAACTGTTCACTGTGCAGTTTGACACCCTTTTAAATTACACAATATGATTTATGATTCTGGAGTTTGCTGCCAGCCTAAGTGTTCACAAATGGGCTTACTACACATTACATTATAATCTAAATATACTCTAATGGTTTATATTTTAAGTAATTTAGCTAATCTTACCTGGTAATGTGATATTAACCAATTTAGTATTTCCAAAGTCTTCTGGTTTAGGAAGAAACAGTTCTTTGCCGTTCACCCTCAATGGCTCATCAGTCTCTGCATCTCTGAACATCCATGGGTGACCTGGAAAGAGCACGCACATAAAACACGAAAGGAAAACAAGAGTTGGAACTATACACACTGATGATAGCATTTCATTGACACCTGACAAAGTACAAATCAAAACATAAAGACTTGAATCAAACGTTTTCATGTCAGTTTTTGGTGGCTGGTCCACCGACACTAATTGGTGACAAAAAATACTACTACTACACGTGCTCAGACAGAAGACTGAGCAGCAGCTCGTCTGCTGTTAATCTAACCGACAAACTTATGTCTGCAAATCAAAAGATATGTCAGATTACAGAAACGAAGTAATGAGGCTTTTAATGGGTTACGAACTACTGCATCTTGTCCCTAGATAACGTCTCTTTACAGGAAACGCAGGTCAAATCTGATGCAATGTATCAACTTTTATTCCAAAGCCTTACGCTTATGTGGCTTGTGATATTGAAAAAGCTGTTTTACCGACGAATGTAGTCATTTTCTGTCCCATTCCTGGCTGTAAGTCATCGTATTTATGAGGTTGCCCGCGGTAATCTATCCACAGTGGCCGTACGACCCGGGGACTGTAGTTATAAAACACAACATTAATGCGTATTCGACTGTTCAGGGAGCGAACCAGTGGAAGAGACGGCTCTCCCTCTTGCGGCATTTGTGCTGGTAAGTTGCCGTATAAACGCTGTACTGTTAACGCTACCGCAATAAGATTAGGCGTTTAGCTAACGTTAGATGGCAGCTAGCTAACAAAAGATTCATAAATGTTGGCTGTTGTCGAATTCGGAGACCGTAAGACTAGTGATAGGTGTAATACAAAGTCAGTTACATCACAACTTAAAATCTACAACATGCATCTACATCATAATAATACCGCAGCTATCAAACAGTATATTGCTAACTCTTCAACTATTTGTTTACATCCACACTTCCGGTTGAAAGTGGTGGGACCTGAAACTATTCTGTGCCATGATTGGTTGAGAGAGACATGACGACATCCGGATCTTACAGCGCATGCGTTTCATCCGGTGACGTACGTGGTGTTGGGTGTGAGAAGCAAGAAAAAGCAATTACAGCTTTATGTTTAAATGGAACCACCACTTTCTGATTTAGCAGCATTTACAAAGGCTGTATATGCTGCAAACATAAATAACCAAATAAATAGACAAACAAATAAATAATTTATTAGTCTAATGCTTCCTATGTAAGCAATTAATAAGCCTAGATTGTTAGGTTTTGGAAAACCCTCCTCCAGCATGACACATTGTTAATGTCATTAGGCTACTCCAAGCTACCACGTGTATAAACGGATTTTGGTACAGATGCCCTGGAGCACTTTTTCAGAAGGTGAAACAGCCCATTGTCTCCCTAATGAATTAATAAAGTGGCGAACTAAAGTGTCAAATATTAAAAGTAAAAAAAGTTTGTTGCTTTTGATCTCATTTTTGACAGCGCAAGAAGGAATCTTGTGTCACTGGCTGAATGACAACAGCATATAAAGTTATATTACTGTACAATTTTAAGCAATTTGGATTTAACTTAATTCATTAGTCCATATTTCAAAGGCATATACTGAATATTAGAATGAGAATCAGCTTGATAGGCCAGATGTGTTGCACACAAGAAGAATTTGTCTCAAGTACAGTGGCTCTCAATGTGTAAGTACAACACACAAGAAGAATTTGTACAGTGTACAGTGGCTCTCAATGTGTAAGTACAGTGATCTTCCATAAGCAATCAGTAGGCAAGTAGACAAGATAAGACAGAGATGATGTTTTTCAGGCTTCACAGATGTGAAGCGGAGTGGAGAAGTGGCGATCCTGATTCCACTTCTCTAGGCCTCCTCTTTGGCATGACAAAGGTGCTCGGGTTTTACTGTGAACCAGAGCTTATTGTTGTTGTATGTGCAGAAGGTCTTGGTGGGCACACACATGTCCTCACAAAAGCTGATGTATTATGTCACATACTGTACTGTACTCCAGTACATTTAGTAATTACTACTTTGCTTCATGAAGCCTCTTGGATGAGAGGTGAAACGTCTTCGACCTAGAAATCTAAGTCCAGTTGATTTTTTCTAAGTTTTTTCAGTTTACTATGACCTGGATGACTGAGAATCTGCACAGACAAATCTATCTGTTCCTTTGCCCCCAAACAGACTGTTTATGAGCAAATTTACAGATCTGGACTCCTTTACGCCCAGATGAGTCCCCTGAACCACAGTGATTTTGTGGATGCAGAGGACGTGTCGAGAGATGAGAATCTGGCCAAAGTGGAGATCGCGCCGCTCAGTACCGTCTTCATCAGCGCCGCCTTGCTCAACATCGCCCTGCTCCTCATCCTCTGGAGACAGCGTATGTCCAGGATGCGCGTTTTCGTGTTTCACCTGTGCTGGCGAACCTTGTGGTCGCTTTCTTCCAGGTGTGCCCGCAGCTTATGTGGGACATCACAGACAGATTCCTTGGGCCAGACCTGGTGTGCCGCCTGGTGAAATACCTGCAGGTTCTCGGCATGTTTTCATCGATTTATATGATTGTGGTGATAACATTTGACAAATACGAAGCGGAGTGCAACCCGATGGTGAAGTTTCAGCGGACGCGTACGAGACTTAACATCCCTCTGCTGGGCTGCCACAGGTTTTCATTTTCTCACAGGTCGAGGTTGCACCCGGGTGTTTGACTACTGGGCTAAATTTATCCAGCCATGGGGCTGCGGACTTACATAACCTGGACCAACATGGTCATTTTTTGTTTTACCTGTTACTGCACTTGTCGTTTGCCAAGTGCGCATCTGCCGAGCCATCCAGATCAACCTGTACCAAAAGACTCAACAGCAAGGTAGCGTGGGTCTCCCGCTGCCATCCAGAGCCAGCGGTGTGGCTGGCATGTCCAAGGCCAGGGGTCAAGACGCTGAAGATGACCAGTTATTGTGCTGGCTTATATTATCTGATGGGTTCCCTTCTTCACTGTCCAACCGTGGACCGCCTGGGACACACATGTGCCAAAAGAAAGTAAGTCCTTACTTGCTGGTGCTACTTTTGTTCCTTGTGTTTTATTTGGTTATACTGTACGTACTCATTAATTACACTACGTTCAGGTCTGGACGCGCTATAGGAGCAGTGCGTATTTACGCACCAATCCCATAAGATATTAATTGGTGTCAGATGACACTTCTTTGCAATGTTGTGACGCTTTGGGCTTCTTCTGTCATTCCAGCTGCGACTTTCACCAGCCTGATGTTGCTGGCCAGTCTGAATATACGCAAATCCCTGCATTTATCTTCTGTTCAGCGGTCAGTTCCCCAAGAAGCTGGTGGCACTTCCAGCGGCAGTCCGACGGTAAAGATTCAATGCACGAAGATGTTTGAACTATGACTGGTTCGTTGTTCTAAGACATTTCACACATTTAGAAGCTGGTCTTGGACTTCACAAACACTTTTTGCCTTTTCAATAAATTTCTTTGATTTAATTCTATGTTGGCAAAACTCATACTGTATTTTGAATGAGTGCAATTCTGAGCCAAATGTCCCTGGATATTAAATTATGCCACAGTCCTTCGAGTTGAGCTGAGAAACCTAAAGATGTAACATACACTGCATCTTATTTTCCAAAGAGAAAGCTATGTGAAAGCAATCACACTAGCAGCATCATGAATATACTGTAGTAGAGAAGAAATACAAAAGGTTTTAAAATGAAATACAATATGTGTCCGACTCAAACAGAAAAAAACCTGTATTTAACGATTGTGAATGTTCTCACAAATGCTTTGTCTTTGTACTTGTGTTTAAATACATATTGTGTAAAATATGCACTTTTGGATCCGCAAGAGGTTAATACACTACAAACACATGAAAATACACAAACACAGCAAAGGTGCATGCTGATTTGCCTACACATGATGATTCTGCAAAGACATCTTAATACCCGCTTGCTAAAGCTCAGTTATTCACCTCACACAGGTTTCTAGCTTGACAGACAGGTAGTTTGAGCTGTCAGATATATATAGGCCTCCTGCCCAAATAAAAGAAACATCTCTGGTGACAAGTGAATCAGAAGAGAGTCACAGGATAACTGCACATTTATTTTACTCTTGTCACACACTGAATGCCATGGAAACACAAGCAAAGACCTTCTTTGGAGTCAGCCCAGTGATTTCGCCAGTGAAGCATCCATGTCATTGTTGAATGACCATCTGAAAGCCTATAGCAAACGCTGAATCAGCAATGACAGAAAGTATGACCAAAAGAGGCACAACACCAGTTTAGTTTTTACGTATTGTTCTTATGCCAAAAACATCCTGTCTCCAGCAAACAAAATGATATGAAACTTGAGATTTATAAATAAATGTCTGAAATGTGAATTTTTAAAAAGTAAGTGATTTTTAAGGTAGCTTACTCTCACAAAAATATGAATATCAATGATAAGATTAATTCTGGACAAACTGCATGAGATGTAAAAGTTAATTATGCTTTCACTTATTGTCATCACTTGTTGTACGATGACCATAAGAAAAACACAGGTAAAGTTTTAAACCGAGTTGTTCCGCTTTAAAGGTTCAACATTTTTAGAAATCTGCTTGTTTGTTTTAATGCATAAAGTTAAAGATGATAGAAATAAGGCTACAGCCAACAGCCAGTTAGTTTAGCTCAGCCAACTAGCCTGGCTTTGTCTAGAAGACAGAACATCAATCACATTAATCATTTTTTTAAAATCCATACACAAACCAAAGTGTAAAGACTGAGAGCACCAATGCTGTGAGTCACCGCATCCAGGAAACATTCTGGCACATAACTGCCATGAAACCTTTAAATTCCATTCTTGCACTGTTTTTTGTACGAGTTAGATCAACAACATACAGTGTGTTAGTGAGCTCTAGAGGTTTACCTTTGGACAGCATCAAACTGGCTACTTCCATTCTTTGGGTTAAGCTAGGCTGACCGGCTGCTGGCTGCAGCTTTATATTCATCCTAATGAAGTGAGCGTGGTGTCAGTTCTCTCTGGGAACAGGAAAAAAAAACAACCATAAACAACTTATTTGCCAAAAATATCAAACAGATACTTAAAGGAAGTATTCAAAAACATGTCCATTAGACAGACCAACATCTTCAGATTCTAGACAGTTGCCTACTGATGACAAGACCTTTTTTCTAACCAGCCTCAGTGACAAAGAGAAATGAGAAACAAAAGTCAGATTCTACAAACAGCAGAACACCAGTTATATCACACAGCAAATTCTATAACTGGTTTTTATATACAACTCTATTTATACAAACATACTGAAACACAATCACAAGAAGTCCTGAAAACTGAGACTACAAACCAAACAGAATCCTAAAAAATGAACAATTAAATCAATGCATCATCATAACATTGCCATTTACAATCTTTCATTCACGTCTAAGGTTCACTGCTTTATCAAAAGACACTGAACTAGAGTGTAGGCACACTATTTTAACATGCCACACAACAGAAACTAAATGATAAAGGCTAAATACTCCTCATTCCCTTAATTAGCTTTGACCTAAAAAAAAGTCTGCCAATGAGGCACCAAGACATCTCTAATTTTCATTTGTGCAATCAGAGAGATATCACTTGTTTCCTGAAGCCCATCACCTGACAAGACAATGAGCCTTAGTGGAACACAAAACTGACACTGATTGTATCAAGTATATTACAGCCTATCGTTATTGTTACCTCAGTTTTGTTTATTACACAGAAACTGGCGTAATATAATAAAAAGCACAGGTTTCCACATGACTGGATACGCTAAATTAATTTCAATTCATCCTCCATACAAAAATACACCCACTTTAATCCCAAGATTCAAAATATCCTCTGTTATAACAGATCTACACATACATGAGTGCACTTTCATTCAAACTGCTTCCCCGTCTGACCTATGGCAGGTGAAAATACATCAGAAAATACAGTGAGAAACCCACAAAGGATCTGAATGCTAAGGGAAGTTACTGTATGTTGACTGGTTTGTTTCACATCAGAATAAAGCAGCTAAGGCAACCTGCAGCCTCTCTACCTCACCTGCATGCAGTTATACTCTGTCAGAAAGGAGAAAAAGAGCTGAAGAGAAATTATACATTAAGCACAGCTTTTGTGCCTCTGTGAGTGTACCTGGCAGGTAACAGCTGGACAGAGGTGCAGATCAGGGCGCTGCATGCTGGGATGCTACCATGTGTCATGGATTCAATCTGTCTTTTTTTTTTTTTTTTTGCTCGGTTTATCACAATGCACAGTTGTCTCTCTGCTGTCTCTACATTTTGAGAACCATCACTGCCTTCAATCCTTCTAATTTGCTCCTGTCAAATGACCTTTTCGCTAATATGACAGATTTGCTGCTAAGGGTGACAGGCGCTGTGTGATGCGTTGATTTTTAAAAGTAAGTGCAGCCAGAGAGTGGCTGAAGATTCAGGTTTGGGAGGGTTTGCACGTCTATGGTCACAGGCAGAAGACACGAGAGCCCTGTCTGTCCTCCTCCCCCTCACCCTGGGGGATACGGGGCAGCATAGCTGAGCGGGTCAGACCCCAAAATCGAGGGGGAGACAAGTCCTTCTTAGTGGCTGTGAATTTCCAACCCATGTGTGACCCGCAGGTTCGGCACTGAGCGATTGTCCAGGCGTACCTGAGAGCACAGGAGGACAAAAACATTTTCTTAAAGGTTGCCTTCAGACAGTTTTTAAAATATATAAACATACTTTAATTTGCTGTTCAAATTTCAGAAAAAAACAACTAATGTACATCTATTCCTCCCTCCTAAATGAAAAAACAAGAACCTTTGAATATGCATATAATTTTTTACTTCAAAGCTTTAACTACTGGACACAAAATATCCCCTTTCTCAGTGTTTGTGTATGGGACAGCTCAACTTTCCTCATCCCACTTATGTAAGTTGCCTCTTGGAGCATGACTGGCTTTCAAAAGAGCTTTCAATGAATCAATTAATCTCTGATCTCTGTCTGTTGTACTGGTTGGTCACTGTTCTGAGGAGGGAATGTGATCGAAAGTTACCCCGGAAACCAGCTGTGCAGTGTGGATGGCCTGCCAGCCAGGTTTAGGTTGTTAGCTTTGTAGACAGTCAGGGTTTCGTGGACGTAACCATGAGGGTTGACGTATGCAGCCATGGGACCGTACAGAGACAAACTGCAAGGAGAGAGGAGGCAGGTGGAATATGTTGTTAGAACAGTTCAGCCAGAAACAAAGCCTCAGAAGGATCTTTTCAAAGTGAGTCTCCATAAAAAGATATAAAAGGGAGCAAAACTGTCATAGAAATGTACATTTGAATTCTGCAGTCACTCTGAAGCCAAAATTGAATTCAGAACAAACTGATACTGCACAGCCAAGCATGGTAACTTTTTCTAGCAACACAATCACCACTAGTCTAGAGAAACGTCTTAGAATAATGAGATTAGAAATATCTGAAATTAGTGGGAAAATACTTGTTCAAACTGAAAGTTGCTATAATCAATATTTTTTTATTCACAATGGCTTAGATGTTTGATAATGTGAAAGGGGCTGCTTGTAGTGATTTTGTAAGCATTTCTAGTTCATTGTTCCAGTTTTCTGCTGCCAATTTACTGCTTTGATTCACTCTCAATGCTTTCGTCAGCCTAGCATCTACACACAGCAGGCAGCTGTTCTCAGCAAAAAGCTCTGACAAATCCATCTTACGCTACTTTATGCTCGGCACCAAACAGCAAACAAAGAAAGTTAGCCAATAAACACTGTGAAGCATTCTGCAGTTTAAGAGCCAGATGTTTCCCCTCAGGAGTTGGTGAAGACAGAAACAAAGCTAAAAGGACAGTGAACATCAGTCCTACACTGCCCAAGGTGAGAAATATGACTCCAAATGAATGAATGCTAATGTTGCTCCATATCTGCTGGAGGTGTAAAAAAAAAAACTGTTTACAAAAACTAACTGCTAAGTGGCCAAAAAAACCTGATACTTCAAGTTTTGAAGTAAATCTTAAGCCAGAATTCTGGTTTCGTATATCAAAACATGTGTCCCATGTTCTATGAGTGTAGTCACTATGTGAACAAAACACAACTACAAAAGCTTAGACTTGAGGACGTATAATTCTGTTTTCAGTTTTTAGTTCAACAAGATATTTATCCAACCCGACTGATTGAGTTTGCATCAAATGCTACACACTGAGTCTCGAGTCTCAAGCAGTAATTTACTCTAATTCAGTGCTGGTGTTAGTTGGTGTCTCTGAATGATAATGCATTAGTTACATACAGTACATACATAGTAGAGGAAGTGGGTTTTAAAAGTGATCATCTTCTGAATGCTTCACTCAGAAATCACATTAAACAGCTAATTACTCAATCACTCAGATTATCTGCATGTCGTGAGACAACAGCAAATGCACCTTGCTCAAACGTAAAGTGAGCGTCTGGGCAGTTTAACTGGCTTGGTGTCATTCTTGGACAAACCCATCACACAACACAGACAGAAAATTATATTACATAACTTTGTGTGTGGAGGTGCAGAGCAGGGCCACTTATGTTCATGATGTAACCCCAGACTTAATGCACCTTCCAGAGAAAATCATCATCGCCCTCGGCGTGTTAATAATTACAGTGATTACAGTGATGAATGTAAATACAAAAAAAGATTGAAAATGGGAAGAGCTTTGTTGCTGGTAGAGTACCAGCCTCAGTGAGTCTAAAATATTAAGGCTCCATTAAGTGATTTTTTTATATTAATAAATGACAGTACTGCTGGTCCCTTCCAGACAGGTGAAAACATCCAACGTTAAATTCAATATTCCCAGTGATGAAATACTTATTTCTGACAAATGACAAATATCTTCAAGCATGTACTTGTACCATGCTGAAAAGCCATGCAACATGTGGGCAGCATTTAAACAAAAGGACAATGGAACAGAAGAACATTCATCTGACTGAAAACAAGCAAGTTCTCACCTGAAGATCTCATTTTTTGTGGTGATTTCTGTGTCCTGGCATTGCTTACAGCACAGCGACGTGCACTGTGGAGGAGGGGCAGTCGAGTGTTAACAGCATGTATACATGCCAGACATTCTCTGTGTAAGGTGGCATCATTGTTCAGGCTCACTGAAGGTGCTATAATAATCCACTGCATGCTTTTAGCTAGGTCTCTTTCCACTGAGTGGATTCACACAGATAACTAACAGACACATCTAAAGGCCCTTTACCATCATCTGGTACCAGCCCAACTCAACTCTACTCAGTTTTGTTTATTTCTAGTATATCTTGTGTGATGCACCCTTTGTGCTGCATAAAAAAGCCTGAAGAACCTTTTCTGCAATATTCTGGTCTAATGATGGTGCTGGAAGAAAAGCTAAGGGATCACCAAAGTTATTCATCCTGTGGAATAGGAGTGTCTGTACCAAATTTCATGGCAATCCACACATTTGTGAAGACATTTCACTCTGGATCAAAGTGATGGAACAAATGACTGACATCACTGCAACCCCTGGAGCCATGTGACTAGAAACAACCTGACTGTACTGACACACAAGACTGAGTTCAACCAGGAAGAGAAAGGCCAGACTTCTATGGAGGTTAGTTGCTCCAACATGCCTAATACAACTAATCTAGATACAAACTCTGCCTGAGATCTATTCTACTACTTCGTATTATTAGGGTATACTTTAATGTTAAAGTTCTACTGATGAAGAAATGTGTGGTTTGTTACCAATGTAAACATTTGAAATGAAAAACAATAATAAGGTTAAATACCTATTAATTAATAACAAGCTCAGCTGTATGAATGAAAAATGTTTTGTTGCAAATAATGCTCATACACAATGTGACAAACAGCTGATGTATAATATTTAAAAGTCATTGTGGCAGGATTAACTTAAAATCTCTTTGCTTATCCTAAACAATTTCTAAACACCGTTGGTAGTGAACACCAACTTTGGACTGAAATACACTGACAGCAGCAGAACTGTCAGCTCTTTGGTCACTTGCTCATGCAGGGTTAAATATACCACAGCACATCAGAGAGAAAAACAGACATAGACTGCTCAGAGGGGGGGGGAGTTTATAATGGTGCCCTTCCCCTTACCCGGTCCATAATGTCCAGCTCACAGCGAAGTCTCTGGATGGCACTGCCGATCTTCAGAAGCTGGAGCCGCAGGACATCGTCTATGGGCAAACAGGCTGCTACTCTGTAAGAGAAGTCTTATAGAAACCAGACAGAAGAGAAACGAGCGATAAACGGGAGGAAAGAAAGCACAAAGAAACCAGGGGGTGCATGTGTGTATGTGCCTGTGATCCATCGGTCACAAAGTGAGCAGGGACTGACCTACGGCGTTCTTAGGGAGAGAGTCATCCTTCAGATTCTCATCCCATTCGTGGAGCTGCTTCTTCACTCTGTTCATTAGCGACTCCTGTGAGATGAAACATAGAAAACCTAGTTTACATTCACCTCTATGTGGTCTTTTTGTATGAAAGAAATTTCTAGCAGAGTACAACGGGCTGCAGCACTTACAGAGTCGTACAGTGCATAGACCCAGGGTGGCCATGGTGTCAGACTGGCACTGTGAAACTTCCTCTGTAATGAACAGACGCACCATTAGTAAATTAAGTCTATGTCTGATGATGACTGTAGTGTTGTTCTGTTTGATAAAGGACCCAACAAACCCCTTTTGAGTGAGCACTTCCTCCCCACTGTTGTCAAGAGCCCTGTGAACGCTAACATCTCCACCTGTTACAACCTCATTTGTTTAAAATCTGTGTATATTTTTTATTAGAGATACTGCAATTAGTCTATTAACTGATTGATCAAAAAATAATTAACCAGCTAAATTTCAGATAACCAATTAAAGACATTTTTCAAACAAAAATGATAAATTATTATTGTGTTTCAGCTTCTCAAATGAGACAATTTGCTGCTTTGACTGAAGATTAGACAAAACAATCAACCTGGAATCTGAAAATCTTGGGTGGACAGTTTTTGTCATTTTCTAATGTTTTATAAGCCACACAAATAATTCTGAAAATAACTGGCAGAGTAATCAATAATAGAAATAATTGTTACTGTCTACTCTGTGTGGCCACTTTGACTTTATTTCTTACTGGAAATAAAGTGTTTATGATTCTAAAGTGTGCAATACCAAAAATGTGCTTACTGCACAGATATGTTGTTCAGCTCACCTGTTGGTAGTTACTCCACCAGCACTGGGACTGTTTGCCGCTCTGAGTCAGGGATTTGGAGGAGGGCTGCATGTGCAGCCTGGTGAGGGGTGTTAGCTGCACGGCAGCGAGGGGATCTGGAAGGACTCGTTCTGGAAGGATCCACACTTTGGCTTGTCTGATCCTGGAAGAGAAAACCAGAGGGAGACAGTGACAGTGACAGTGAAGGAGGGAAACAGCAGCCAAATGAAGCTGGGCAGACAACTATTAGAGTAAACAAATAGTGTGCTGGCAAAATGTTACCAGGTGTACAACAGGATATTTGTAACTAAGGAGCGATGAACATGAAAAGCCGCTGTATGTATATTTTCTCAGTCAGCAATAAGAAATATTCCTCCACCTCCTCATCCAAAAAGCTCTCAGTGCACTTTCTGGAGTCCATGCATGCAAACATGTACAATAATATACCGTGTTTAAACTGAAATGCACAAACAGAAAACAATATAGTAGCACCAAAACCTGGCTTATCAAAAAAGAAATGGCTCTTGTCAAGTGAAGCCATCATCATCAAGTAAAAAGACCCCCCCAAAAAAGAAAAACTTACAGGCTAGATTTAATTGTGCCAAGACAACCAGGCACAAGGACAGTTTCTTTCCCTGGGCTGTCACTCTGACTAACACTTAACCCACGACAGTATGACTGGACAATAACCCTCAGTGCATTACCTGTAAATATAATAATAATCACCTGGCCAATAAAGCTGATTCTGATTCTAACTGTATAAACTTAGAAAATTAATAGTTCAATTTCTCAAGTCTGCACTTGAGATTAATGTGAACAGACATGAATGTAGAGGCAGTTCACATATTGCAGATGAGGCTACGCAAATGGGCTGCAGTCCTAGTCCAGAGTGCTGCTAATTTTCCGTTTTATCAGATAGTTAGGTGTGAATAAACACATTCACTTTGATGCATGGCTCTGAGTCCTGCAGACAACCACTGGCTTTATTCCATGTGATAACAACATCACAGTCTTTATGTATTTATTCACAGAACACAGCTTCCATTCAAATGTGCACAAACATACAAGCCTGACCTTTGGTTTATTAATGGTTTAAGGGGCAATTTCAACTTACCCATCTGCTTGAGTTCTTATCTCATGGACCTTGAATCTTTGCCTGCCCACAGCTTTCACTTTGACTGTTTCAATGCCATACTCCTGCTCTTCCCGGTATGCATAGATTTCAGCTGTTGTCCCAAACTCTGCCTCTGGCTCGCCTCCATCACTGCAGAAATAGAACATTTAAAGGGGGGCACTCCAGTGATTTACCATTGTGCTTCCATAAGGTTTGGGAACACACAAAAAATGAGATTTTAAAAATTCAAACCTATGTTGTAGAGGCTAAGCTATCTTGATGTCTAGTTTCTAGCAGGGATCAAGCTCTAAAGGTGCTGCATCCTACATTTTCATAGTGCAACTTGAGAGCATTTCTGGTAAAGACCTATATCTTTTGAACCAACCACCTATAGTTTGCAACAGTTTTCTGCAAAAACAACAACAAAAGAAAAAGAAAAAAAGTGATGCTTCTGAGCAAAAACCTTGATAACATCATAATATTTGTTTTCTCAGATATTAAAAAAGCTCCCTCAAGTGTCACAGACGACATTCAGTCTGTGAGTAGCTTCAACATCTATAGAGGCATTCAATGGTCACACACCTGTGTGCGAGTACAGCAAAAGTGCGGTCTCTCTGGATAATGCTCCTTATCATGCTGACCTCCTGTGGCCTGAAGAGCTGCAGAGGCAGCGTCTGGCCCGGCACTAGCATCACAGCTGTGTGTGGCAGCACAGGAATGGTCTGACAGCTGTCATCATCGTGGACTGTACGACCATGAAACTCTTCCATGTCTGAACCCAGGTACTGCCATCACAGGAGTCAGTCAACACAACACAACACAACAAGTCCACAACAGCTGCAGAGATCTCGCAATACAGCTTTGTGACAACTAAAATACAGCAAGCATGTAGACATGTATAATGTGCTTAACGACATCATCTCGACATGTATAATACAATGTATAATGTGCTTAACGACATCATCTGTGAAGAAAGCTGTTGCAGCACTCACAGCATGTGATGTGGGAAGACTAGGGTCAAAGGTGATGATGTTGGGCTTCACTGCCTCCTCATTGTCTCGATCTTCAGTCTCCATGTCATCCTCCTCCTCCTCTTCCTCCTCATTGTCTGCCACGGCACAGCAAGAGGGTAAAGACATGCACCTCAAGGTGAGATTAATGAGCTCGTCGATTATCCCCTGACCACACTACAGTTGCAGCTTTATCAGTTTATTAAGTCATTCTCATGCTAAAAATGAAAACGAAAATGTGCCAGTCAGGATGTTATTCTGACAGTGTGCCGACATGTTAGCTAGCTAGCCGCTTCATGCACAAAAGGATAAACGCCAAGCTGGTGAAACACCGAGTAGTGTTTTGGAGAGTTTAACTGTTACCTGGTAAAAGCTGTAACTGGTTGCCCATGTTATCGTTAATGTTATCTTCACCTCCACCCCTCTCGTCAGCCATATCCTTCTGTTTACAACACTCACTCTTCTTCTACGGCGTCTTCGATGCACATCAAAATAGTTCACGGGCGCCCCCTGCCGACACGATGGGCGGTTAGATTATGTAAATAGCAATAATAGATTTCTTTAAGACGGGGTATAAAAATACTTATAGTGCTCCTGTATGTTAAGTTCAGGCTATAAACCAACAATGCTCTTGAAGTAAACGTGACGCTGCTCTCATTGATACACAGGGCCTATTTTGAGGGACCTACTTCTGATATATAGGCATATTCCTTCATTGTGGTACACAAAGGTATGATACAAAAGTACAGAAATTAAATGATGCATACATAAGCTAAATAAATCAAATCAGAAAATGTATGATTTACTCAAATTAGGGTAAAACAGTTCAAGGTTGTGAGCACCACTCAGAAGAATTTGAAGGGATCCTATATCAAATAATTGGTAGGTTTTTTTTTGTTTTTTTTTTGTTTTGTTTTTTTTAACTACAGCATAATTGCCTTCAGAAAGCATGACAAGTTTATTTGTATATCACACTACCTAGGACCTTGTTTGACAATGGTAATTGCTCCGCTTCCAAATGCTCTGCTGGGCAGTTGTAACAAGAACACGGTCAAGATATTTTGAGATTCTACAGCTTTAAACATTACTGTAGTAATCAATTTTGACCTTTCTCTACAAATATGAAATTTGAAGGATGAGATTAAATGCATGTGCATAAGATGAATTTGTAACCATGTGTTGTACACTATTAGCATGGTGCTAAAGCATGCTGCAGAACAAAAACTCTGTAGCCCAGTCTCCTGGAAAAAAGATAACAGTGAAGCATAGGACATTTACTTTAATACCATGCAGACTGGATATACTGTGCACCCTAGGACATGAGCAGTAGCATGGGCTTTATAACCCAGAACATTAGATTTAAAAAATGGCAGTAAGGTAGCTTTAATAGTAAAGCAGTTGGCCCTTTGTATTTGGTCTAAGTTTTAGAAGGGAGCACCAGATCATCTTTATAGTTTCAAATCTTTTTAGTCAGTGGCCATCTGCAGTATGAAGACAACTTGCAGGGAGTCATTTTACACACCCTGTAGAGTTTCATTCAGTTCACTATTTAACTAGAAATCCACTATTACATACTTAAACCCATAGGTATGATCTAAGACATTACTTCCATGCCGAGCATCTCATAAATCTAAGTTACCATATAAGACACCCACAGACTAATCCTGCAATCAGTTGAATGAATTAA